GTTCATGTCCCTCGTCACCGCAGAGCCGCCAGAGGCCAGAGACTCTTGATCCTGCCGCATCAGTGCAAGAGATCGCCCTTTAGGCCCGATAGAGAAGGTGGAAGCGAGTCAAAGAAGTGACAGGTCGTAGTGCCCGCCTTCAGTGCACTCTGTGAGAGGCGTTCGAACGGTGAGGCTGCGCAGATGTTGGACACCGTTGCCTGCGAGAGCAACCGCGCCCAGCTCATCAGTATCTATCAGCATGGGCAGCATCGATACAAACAGTTCCCGGCACACCCTCACAGCGGCGCGCTTCATGCACCCCACAATCTTTTCTGGGCAAGATACGGTGCTAGACGCTGCAAGACAGACTTACGCGCATGCGGCGTCCGCGGAAGAGATAAGGATACGCACGCTGACAGGCTGATAGGCGTCGGTAAATTGTCCGGTCAAAGGGTGCCGTGCACGAAGTGCTGTCATACAGCTATTACGGTGAGCAAGTCATCTCATCATGGTGGTAACCATGACTGTGAGATTAGGATGAAGGCGGCCCAGAATCACCGCGATGAGATGCAGTGTTGCGCTGCGTTGGGTTTGCTGGAAGAAGAAGTGTTCCAGAAGACAGGGGCGTGGGGTAAGGCTGAAGGGTGTGGGTAGATCGCGGAGGTGGCGGTAAGGCCAATCAGGGATTCGGGATTCGTCTATACGCCATGCAGAAGAGCCCCAGAGTGCTTCGGAGTCAAAGTCACGAGTTTGGCAGGAGGTGAAGATTTTGAAATTGTTAAAATGATTAATGCCTCAAGGCGACGTGGATGTAAGAAACGCACAGCCAGAGGGGCGCAGACATGCAGTCAAGGCTGGCGCGGTAGGCGATAAATTCGAGTAAGGCCGAAGTGTCGTGCTGCGGAAGTGGCCGGGCTGCCGAGTGGCATGCCTCGCTGCCGCCCTTCACATGGGATCAGCGACGTGGAGTGCTGAGATGGCGGCGTGGGCAGCCCGAGAAAGCAATGACTGCGTGGCCTCTCAGCCGCGCTGTGTCTCAGTGGTGCCTGAATGCAACGAGGCCCCACCTGCGCTCCGTGACACTGCAGGCCGGTCGTGTGCTCTGGTCCTTTCGATAACAGCTGCCCACGCGAGTGCCCTTTATTACATATCGGCACCCCGATAACCACCTTCCTGCTCTCGCCGTCATAACCCCAGACTATCCTTATCGCCGCCCTCCTCCACCGCTATCCATTGCCTCAACTGCACCTCCAACCTCCAACCTCACCTTCATCCTTCTTCTGTGTTCGTATTCCCATAATCTGCACAGTACTATACAACCTGCCACGGCCACGTTCGGCCAAGTCGGTCCCTGCAGGTGTGATGTTCCTTACGAGATCCCCTTGGTGCCGCCAACCAATCCGAATCCAGCAATAACGTAACAACAATCCGATCGCACACCCGACCAGACGTCACAAAACGTCTAGCCGTACCTGGCAGCGACTCATCCTTTAGTCACGGGGAACTTGCCGTGAAGGCTTCCGCACAGGATGATGTACTCGCCAAGGTCGTTCCCGTACCTTCAGCACTCTCCACCCTCGTCGCGTACCAAATCAGAGAAGATGGGCTCGCGCGCTGCGAGGAACGCCCCTTCGCCGCGTTCCGTCAGGCCTGCAGAGAAACTCACACCGAGTACCACAGAGTCGATCTTCACTTCGGAACCGAGAGTAGTGCAGCCAGTTGCGACCATGCACTCTCAGTCGAAACCCGTCGTCATTCCGCCTCGCATGCCTTCCAGGACTTCAACTACTACCCAAACAGTGAGAGCGCGAGGACAGAATGGCGGCAGGCCAACTCGCGCAAACAAGACTCACAATTCCGACGCAATCCCTCCTGCTGTCGCAGCCCTACTGGCTGTCACCTCGATCCCAAAGCTGCCACAGCGCCGCCGCAAGCCAGTTATGGCCGATAGAAGGATATCCATAGACGAGTTGATCCAAGAGTGGAAGCAAGACGATTCAGAGATCCCACCGTCTCTTGTAGGATCGCCGTTGGACTTGCTGTTGGGTCGTGTGGACGAGTCAGAGGACGAATATGGCAGCCTGCAAAGCATGGAGCAAGAGAAGGACCTCTTTTCGACATCCAGATCAATATCAAGCGAGTCCCTGGCCACCCTACCACCATCACTAGACTACGACGATCCTTCATTCTCATCCCATTGGGACAACCTCAGCACGCCGGACTCGGTCAGCCGCAAGTCGCTTCCAGAGCGCAAAGAGAGAGTTGTGAACTCGCCGCCAAAGGAGGACTGTGTGTTGGACCATCCGCTTCTGCACTTTGGCTCAGAAGAAAGCGAGGAAATCATCACGCACGATGTCTCTGAGATTATCGACACTATGCCTACGCCGACGGAACGATTCAAATCTTTCAAGTCAAACTTGACTGCTTCGCTACAGGCGCTCAAATCCGCAGCCAAGTCCTTCTCCAACTTCACAGCACCCAGCGTTCCACCTGAAGATTTTCTTACCCGGTCTTTGTTGTCACCAATCTTTACGAGCGAAATGCGACCGAAGCATCTTGAAGGACTGCCCTCACCTGCACTGCGACGTTATCTGAACCCCCAACCCGCGCCCATATCACCCACCGAATTATCAATGCAGCTACACGATTCGCTCATGATCGACACCGATGCCGACACCCATGCGCCGATGATACAAATGCAGACATACGACCGGCGGGGCCGCTCAAAAAGCCGCCGACGTACTTCGGATCCGTTTTCCGAAGCTGGCAGGGCATTATCTTTACCCCCTACAGTCCGCCAACGCGAGCCTCGTGAGAACAGCGACTTCTTGCGTGTCATCGTCCTCGAAATGAACATGCGCCGAGTCGGCAAGCTTGACGCGAAAGCCATCGGCAAGGCACGCATTTGGCTTCCGCCAAGGAAGGCCGGCACCAGCAAAGCACCTTCCATCAACGGCACAAGCGGTGTACCTGATAGATGGATTGGAGTCGCAGCCAAATGAATGCACTAACAGGCGCAATTTTGTTAGGCCATCCTGGATGTTGACCGTCGTGCGCGTCGGGCACGCCTGCAGCAAGACCCTCGTTCCGTTCACACAACGTCGCAAACGATGACACAGAGCAATCCTGGACACCAACGAATCCCATTTGTCGTCAGGCCTTGCAGGCCCCCTGGAGTCGATCGGCCTGTCCACTTCTCCTCGGAGCAAATTGTTCCTTCGATGAGTCTAGCGGCGTCGCAATTGTGGGCTTTTCACCACGGTGACCGTTGACCCGGAAAAGTCTACCTGGACTGCACACGAGCCTGCGCACGTGGATGACTGCTACACGGCTAAACAATCCGCGACAGCTAGCGCGATGGGTGAGATTCGTTGTCAGATCGGCCTTCGGTGACGGCCCACGCACGATGAGTCTTGCGAGGCCAAGGTCCACGACATGACATTTACCCGTCCGACAAAATTCCTGTTCCTGCATCGTGGCCACGAGATCGGGGAAATCCACCTGTCTCCATCAACTTGAGTGGGACACCGAGATCAATCCGCGACGTTGTGATTCGACCGGAGCACGTACGCCGGACCCCGCCGACTCCAGAAGTGGGGGCACCCGACACGCGCTCGTTACACATTCCCATCGAGCAATTCTCGAGTAAGAAAATGGAAAAGTGGGAAGATGAGAGTATCTTGATCAGCGACGCGCAAATGTGGACAATTGGACCACTTCCTGCATTTTGTTTGCTCCGAGAATTTTCCTTTTGTCTATTTTTGATTGTGCGCGCTTTTCTCTTATTAGCGACGGCATGGGCATGATGGAGTTTGAGCGATATATTGGCAAGTGACGGTCAAGCGCTGACCCCATCTTGGTTTTTGGCATATTGCATTGCATTGAGTCACCACTTTTACTGTATTCTCGTTTTTGCGTCGACAAGTATGCGTAGCGCTGCACTGCATGGCCGGTGAGGGTAGATGAGATAAGATGATACTTCACAGTCGTACTTGGACGAGAATCAATACAATTAAACCGGAAGGAATACTCAAATCCTGATGAAAACAACTGTGCGTACTTGTGAATACGAACATGGCATGTTATTCCGACGCGACAGATCATCGCTTGAGACATTCGCTAGATCTGCAGCACATTCTACATCATCAATGCCGTCCGGTGCTCGCTCAATTGAGGGCCTCAAATGGCATCCATGAAGCGAGAATCCATAGCTAGAGTTGATTATCTCTCTCTCTCGAATGACAGATATACTGTAAATACGCAAACCAAGCATAGTCAATTTGAGGACTGACGTCAAACTCTCGTGCTGTAGCCGGGACTTAAACATGATCTCAAAAAGAAGGTTTAGACATGGGCATCTCACAGGTACGTATTTTCGGTGTGTTTCTTGAGTGTGGTCTAAACGTATACACGTCGTTTTACCCGGTCTGTGTTCATGATGTACGATGCGCGGATGATATACAGTCGTCTTACCCAAATGACGCCGTACATGAGTATTTGCGCGAGCATCTTCAGCGCATAATCCTCTTTGAAAGGGAAAGAAGTAGGTGGAACGATGGAATTCATAAACATGAGCGTGAAACTAGGGATGTGAAGTTTGTAAAGACACCAAACTATGGATTCTCGTAGCCACCACGTCTAACCCCTTGAGTTAGCGGAGAATGTGAGTTTCGAGGTGATTTTAGCCTGGCTCAATCTCGACTTCTTTCGGGAATGAAGATGCTGGAGGTATACGCGACGATCTTGTGTGCTGGTGACTCGATAGTTAGTGTCGTGTAGATAGCTTCAGCGCCTCCATGGTTCAGGTCGCTAGTATGTTGCATCGTGGAAAAGTTTGCAAACGATTGCCCCGCCTCGCCTGACAAGCGAGGACTACCCCACTTTGATAATGCAAGATTATCTCATGGCAATGGGGCTTCTTGGAAAAGACTGTAGTCGCATCGTCGCTGTCACCATGGTCAATATTATATATGTATATCAATATATTTGGTCGCCTCTCATAAATCACCCGATTCATCGGCCTAATGGCCCAATGGCAAGGCGCTTGACTACGATCCACAACGTGGGTACATCAAGAGATTCCAGGTTCGACCCCTGGTTAGGTCATTTTTTTGCAGCGTCTTGCAAGGGCATCTTTCATACCCTTCTGCGATCTTTTTGCTTTTTGTTTCCGTCGAGATTGGGGTCAGGTTGGATGCCGGACAGGAGCGTGCGAACATACAACCGGAGTATACCGACAACAACACAAATATCCTAGAGTCTCGACCTGGTATATGCGCGTTCGAGCGGCATCATTATCGCAGCCATATGTGCTGCTCAGTCTGCGCAACCATGGCGAAATACGAACACTCCCAACTTCGCCGTCTGAGAGAAGCCTGGATATTTTCAGAAGATTTTGAGAAGTTTACTTGCCAAAGATGAAAGTTTCTGAGGTCATACAGGATACTTCGAGAGAGTCGTCGCTTGGAGATAAAGAGAGCCTGACTTTGATCGCGCACGATTTCTCCGACGCGTGGTTGCGGCTCAAATAGCATGACGAGATGGTGATTGTGTAGCTGCGATAGAGCAGGATCTGAATGACATTAACGGCGAGCATCCAGGAAGAGCATGGGTCTTCCTAACCTTGACCTAAAGAGGTCTGACGCGCGCATGCGAGCTCAGATTCTCAGAATTGCGGATTTGATCTTGCTGAATATCCTCAAGCATGTCTACGACTTCATTTCAAGAGGTGTTGGGGAATTGAAGATGGCTTGGATACGACGACCGTCGATCGATCGAACGTCTAGAAGAGCTTGTACGAATTCAGCCCGCATTTATGGCTTCATTTCTAACTGCTTTGCATCCACCGGCTTTGCGTGCCCCTTCGAGTCCTTATCTTCTGCACCAGTACATCTCACTGGGAACAACGCTCAAATCTAACATTCGGCAGGGGAGACGGACATCACATCTATCCCGACCGCAGGCAATCGCCATTTTCTGGACGCCGCGACCTTTCTTTTCATCGGAGCTTATCCGCGAGGCCTCTTCACGAAGTCATTGGGCGAGCTACTTGATGGAGACGACCTATTCCTTGCTATATGTCCAGACATCTCCCAGCAGCCAGTTCTTATAGCTATTGACCAGCGAGGTAACCTGACAAGCATGGCCATGAAGGACACGGCCTTGAACCCCAAGCTGCAGGACATGTGCGTACTTGCTAGTTTGACCGGGCACAACGACATGTACGGGCTGCGAAGAGAGGCTCTTACAGACGCCAAGTGGACTATGGGCCTCGAGGATGCAAGGTTTCTGGCTGGCCACCGGTCAGGAAGTAAGGCCATAGAAGCCTATTTTGGGATCTCAGAAAATCTTCGATTCGGCGATGCTACATCCCCACAGGTAAAATTGCTGCTTCATATCGTGTGCCCTGGATAGTGTGAAGATGTTTTAGATACGCTAAGTGGAGTACAACTAGGCGTCCGAAAGAGTGTATAACTTCACAGCTACCAAATTAAGCCTTTTCGCAGTCACCTGCATTCTATCTCCTGCAATCCGTATTTTTACCCTCGATAGCCAACTTACATGCTGGTATTGATCCCCCCTCAGTTGCAATTCTCATCTTGCCCTGGCAAGCCATTCTGTTTGTCCACTGCTTGGATGATTCGAGCGATGGCAAGGGTGGAAGCTTCCTGCGTAGGTTTTATTACAGACTGTTTACATGGGCGGGAGGATATCCAGCTGTATGTGACCGCAAAAGAAGAGACATAAGATTCCATAAAAACTTCATTTTCCATGTACAAGGAAGTGCTATGCATATGCTACGCTACGCTCATACACTCCAAATAATCGCCAAAACGCCACGCTTAAACGCTACGAAACCCCATGCTTTTATCATACAATTCAAAGAAGATTACGCATAGCTAGCCCACCCCATATACAGCACCGCCAAGTTCCTCTCATCTGTCGCCTGCTGAATCAGCTCATTCGCCGTGGCCTTCGTACTCAGCGTCTTACTCAACTTCTTCTCTACGACGCCCAACGCCCTACCCGCCTCACCAGCCTGCTCCTCCTTATCCTTCTTCTTATTACTTTCCTGCACCACTTCGTCCACCGGCTGGCCCGACGGCGCAGGCGTGCCGCCGGGTGCAACTGTCGATGCTCGGGTGCCGTTCTGTGCATTCGTGTCTTGATTGGCTTCCTGCATGCGCTTTGCCTTGGTTGGCGTGACGCTCCAGTTCACGAGGGGATCGTAGCGTAGGACGTTGAGGAGTGTCATGATAGATTCGCGTTCTTCGCGTAGCGTGTCCATTGTGAATTCGCAGCAGCGCCGGAACACGCCTTCGGTTTTGGTGTATCCCATTGCGTCGACCAGGTCGCGGGTCAGCCGGAATGGAACGACTTCTGGCACGGGCAGGACGCGGCCGGCTTCGAAACTGACGCCGAGATCGATGTGGATGACTTCGCCTGACTTCTCGTCGAGGAGTATGTTGTGGCAATGTCTGTCGCCGAGGCCCAGGACGTGGCCGAGAATCGAAATGGCAGCTGTAGAACGCGTGTACGCTAGGCGACGCTCAAACCACTCGTCTGGGTCCTGGAAGCGTTCTAGCAGGAAATAGCGTAGCACCGGATGGAAGTTGTCAGCAATCTTCTGCCAGACCTTTGTGCGCGTGGAGAGCGAGTCGGATTGGGCGGCGCCAATCTCTTTCCGACACCTGTCGGGCTTGTAGTCGTTCGGATAGTACTTCTCATGGGCTGGCATGACCCACAGGTGAAGAGGCATGGTGTTCTGGACGAACTCCATCAGACCTGAGCGCGTTGACAGTGGTAGAACTTTGTAGGTGCGAATGCCAATGTTCCGAATGCGCGTCGCAGTATGGTTTCGCAGCAACCGCGACACTTGATCAAAGACCTGCTCCATGATCGCGTCTTGACGTAGATCGTCGTTGCCAGATTTGAACTATATGTGTCAGTCAATGCGTGTCGCAAGTCTTGATCGGCCAACTCACCAACTGCTTGTACGGCTTTCCATCGGTTCCGATCGCGGTGATGATCTTTGGAGCGCTGAGACCGTTCGCGATGCTCATGGTCGATTTGAACTTTTGAATTCTTGGCAGATCTGTGTAATTCATGTTCGCTCTGACTTCGACCTGTAATGTGGCCGGCGGTACGTTGAGCTTGGGCACTTTACTGACGAGTTCTCTTGACTCCTTGTACTTGTCAAGTGAGATTTCTCGGCCTTGTTGTGTACTCTCCTTCTCGCCCTTGAACATAGCGAGGTGATGATAAATCTCGTTCGATTGGAAGATTGAGCTCCAATACGAGCGGGCCCTTTTGTCATTACCCAATTGAGCTGCCAGTGCTGCAGCAGACCTCTGGCGTGAGCGTGCTGCTTCGTCTTTAGAACGTACGACGTCCTCTCGACTGATGGCTCCAACCTTCATCTGTATGGCGAAGATCTGGTGCATGCCATGGTATGGATGTTCGACGCATATACGGAAGACAAGTTTCTCCAGGAGGTGCTGGAATCGGCTATCATCCGCTTGTAAACGAGACGACAATTGGTTCATCAGTAATGCGAATTTGCCACTTGGGACGCTTGAGAGATAAGGCTTGACAGCATCGTTGGCCAAGTCTGTGTCAGCATACTCCAGCCACAGAGAAAAGACTCGTAGGGCGTCGTTGTTGAACTCGTCACTAGCGGACAGCGAAAGTAGGTAGTTCTCCAGACACTGTCGTAGGAATTGTTCCCGGCCTTTCCGCAATCGCTCGTACTCCGCGTGGTCGAGGTCGTACCAGGTTTTTGCACGGCGAGCGCTTCTGGCATAAGTGTCGCGCATGCTCTTGCTCTTGTCCGTTCTTGACAACTTGGTGAAATCATTGTACTCTTGCAATTTCCGATCCATGATGGTCTTGATACGCTCCATGTCTTCTGCGGCTTCTGGACTCTGAATCTGTTTGTCGCAGAAAAGTGCAAACTCGTGGAACACCTGCCCTGGTCCAGCGCCCTGTTTCTGATTCTTGAGCTCGCGAATCGCTGGTTGGAGATAGTCTTGCATGATACTATCCGGTTTGGCAAGGCGGGCTTCGGCAAGGTGATGACCCTATCTGAGTTAGCGTGTCCCATGTAAAGGATGTGAGATATTGCTTACTAGACGAGCTAGAAGCACTGGCAAGCTTAGATCAATATTCTGCGAATCAAAGTCGGCATGTTCGATGAGGTGCTGACGCATCCGAATCGAGATCTCGGCTTCGCCTTGTTCCCACAGTACATTTGCGACTTCGTGCTGAGCTATAGCCTCAATGTCGAGGCCGACGGACTTGCATTCTGACACAATGTCGGATAGATAAGTTACGCTAGCGAGTGACTCTTGCAGAGCACCGTGTCTTCTGCAGATAGTGGATGATGACACGAGCGCTTCTACTTCAATGTTCCGAATCGTAGCAGTTCTCGTGCGCAAAGAATTGACAAGAGTTGCATTCGAAGCCAGGACACTGAACAGGCTTTCGCGACAGGAAAGAACTTGTCGCACGTCGTTAAATCTGAGTCATTGTTAGTGGACTGATGTCAAGATTGCAACGTCGAGAACTTGCTCTCCAGATCGCATCCACTTCTCGCGCGCTTTCATGCGATCCCATGTATCGAGCAAATGCTCTGATCGCTCCGCCCTGATGACCTCGTCTGCCTCAGTCAGGGCGCCAAGGGTTCTCAGACGGGTTTTGACAGGAACAGTGGAGTCATTACGACCCGAAAGGAAGCTCATCGTGGTAAGAAGCTGGCGCTCAAAATTGTCTTTTGCTTCCGTGGCGCTTTTGGCGAAGTGCAGCCCTTGAAATGCTCGGAATAGTGCGCTCGATTCTGTGTGTATCGTGTCTGGTGCCTTGATGTCCCATTGCCCGAGCTTGCGAGCGGTGTGAAGTGTACTTTCCACAGCATCATCGCCCATATCTCGGAATTGGTTGTTGGAGAGCAAGGAATGGGTCACGCTATTCATGTTTAGCACGATGAGCGACTTGACAGTGCCACGGGTATCAGCCGGCTCGAACGCGTTGGATCGCCTCATTTCGCTGTCGAGGCGAGCACCTCGGAAAAGAAGACTCTTCACTCCGTCGCCTTCGTACTCGAGACG